ACAGCAGTTTGGAGAAGAAATGAAGGTGTCAAAGAGTCCATTCACCTGAGATATGTGTAAAGATATGCTTATCAGTTGGCCTTTAGCTTTTATGTTCCTTGAGTAGTTTCACTCAAGTCTGTAACCTTTTGTGTGTGTTTGCTTATTAGTAAAGTTCACTGGAAAGGCAGCTCTTCATGTTACACTAATGACAGTTTGTTCTCTTTGCAAGAGAGGGGCATTGCTGTCACCTGACTTGAGGAGCTGTTTTTTATTGTTGTTTGCAAATTTCATGAATTTGTGATGTCTTTGCTGTTTACATGCAGTCCCAAGAAATGGATTGTTGGTGCTCTGGAATGTCTTATAGTCTCACATTTGATATTCCTTTTATACTTTGTGTTTTCTCTAAGGAAATTTCTTCACATAGTACGTTCGTCATATATCATCATTATTATGGTGGTGAAGATAGACTCTTTTTCATTTTTTGTCATTCTTTTGTCATTTTTGTCATCAAGTAGCATTACCCTAATGGATTGCAACCAAAACTGTAAACAGGTGGAAAGATAACATTTCTCCAATTGGGACTCCGCAGCGGGAATACTTAGGGATAAGAAAGAATGCTAGCATCTCTGTCTCTCAAACATAAGGAGGATAAGAAGAGTGTTCTGGTAAACTAAAATTCTGGACCACTGAAGCTAAAAGTCCTATTGCAAGTGTGAAATTAAGTACTTGAGCTATAGGAAAACATTGATCATTTAACCATTTACTGTCTGGCTTGGCCCTTAAAATAGGGTCACAGTTAAAATATGATTGGCTTAGGTAATCCCAAGAACTAACAAATAACAAAAGGTGCATAATTTACCTACTTTTTAGGTGCTCAAGTTGAGGCAAAGTAGAGCGGCATCATTAAGTGCTATGCTAGTCACTTAGCTGACACAACCAGCTCGGTTAAGCAGCTTATGAAACTATATAAAGAATTATGTTAAGGATGGAATTCTGTCCATAAAATAATTTTACAAGCCCAGATATCATTAGGATCCCACAGAGTTAAGTATAGCAAAATGAAACCTTCATTGTTTTCTTTCGTGTTTTTTCTTTTGTTATAAACAAGGGGATTATTCTTTAGTTCTCAGAGTTAGGGACAAAACCACATCAGCTTTTCAGAAGGAAAAAAGCATTTAAAAACCTACCATCACATGAGAGAATTGCTTAAACCCAGGAGGAAGAAGTTGCTGTGAGCCGATGCCACTCCATTGCACTCCAGCCTGGGTGACAGAGTGAGACTCCATCTCAAAAAAAAAAAAAAAAACACACACACACACACAAACCACCATCACAGAAGGTGCAACATCTATTCTGAAAGATTGTCTTAAGAGAGCTCCAGCCCTACTCTTGAAACTTGGATATATTCTCACACAGTAACCTGTTCTAAATTTTTATTCTTTGAATTATAAATGGCTTCAGCAGTTTTGCTTAACTACGGATAAATGCTTTGCCTCCTGCCATCTACCTATATACATTATTGTGATGAATGTTCCAAAATGATAGAGTGGTAGAAAATGCCAGAGGTGTTTAGAGCAGAGGAAAATATTTGTTTTAAAAAACTAACTTTAAAATTTTGTTTCATTTCTACCAAGAGCCTCTTTTGGTTTGGTTTGGTTTGGTTTTGCTTGAAAATAACTGGTTTTCTCATAAATGAGTGAAGTGGTAATAAAATTCTTCGGCTAGTTACTAATTCTCTTACCTGTCTTTGCATTTAAGAGGCACTGTTAAAAATTATTGGGAAAGATTTAAAGTAAGGGCTGCATTAAAACATGGAGAAAAATAGAAATATGTCATAAGTCTAGATTGCCTCATGAAGCAGCTTCATTTGAATTGCTTTCATAGCTTTCATGTGTGTATGGTTTAGAAATCAACTTACCTCAGAAACCTGATTTGATCTTCATGTCTTGGCCAGGAGTTGTCGAAAGTAGGTGATTGGAGGATGTGAGTTATCTCACTGCTCATGTACTTGCATGTTTGGGACTCAAATTGTACTTGATGTCTGTCCATTCTTGTGGCCTTTCTCCTTTTTTACTCCTTTAATTTGCTTCTTTGACTACCAGTGGAGATTTCAGCTGGACTATGTTGATGGGGTTTGTTGTTTTTTTGAGCTGGCTGTATATATTTTAAAATTATAAATAGATAATATATTATTTTTTTTGCACAGTGTGATCAGTTTTCCCATTATTGGAGGATGGGGCAGTTAGCATGTTGGGGCCAGGAAGGGACAAGTTAGATAAGGATTGAGTGCTTCCGTTGCAGGCAGTTTGCACAATACCTAATTAACCTTCCTATTGAAAATACCAAATGTGTGGTTATATTACTTTAAATGACATTGAATTGGAACTTGATAGCAATTAGTTCTAGATACAATCTTTTGATCTTTGTTGGCATTTTAAAGGAAAAATAAACTGAATTTCATATTCGTTGATTTTAATCCCCTAATATTACTGAAGGTTAGAAAGTTGCACGTGGCTGAATGCTGTTAATTTCTTTAATAGCCATGACTATAATTTAGGCCTATGAGATTAGACTGTTTCATAGGGATATATCATATGTGTGTGCACACTCATGAGGTTTGTCTCAGCAGGATATAATAAGCAAATCCATGAATTGATCTATTAATACTTTGATTCCAAAAGTTTTGTTTACTTGCTGTGGTCTGTTCATTCTGGGCCTAATTTAAAAGGCTCAATAACAAATACAACAAATGTAAATGCGTTTACATTTTAAGACATAACGCAGTGGTACTTACAGATCAGTCAGTTAACTACAGAAAGCAAATGTTAGACCACACATTTGTTTTCTCCTTGATCAAGTGTAAAATTCTGAAACAGAGGCTTTAAAATTTAAAACCTCAGCAAAATAATCTATGAATTTAATTTTTCCACATTGTGTATAGTTACTGTTATTTAACTGTACACGTGTACAGCTACGGATATAGTTGTATAATGAAAATTATCTGCAAACACCTAAATTAAAGAGAAAAAAAGTAGTTTGTAAACTCACTTGTTAGCTACTAAAAAGAGGTTATATTAAAGCAAATAAAAATATTATCTTCTTTGCCCTCTGAAATGACTGCAGTGGATACTCTTCCATTTTCGGGGTGTGGGGGACCTTTTTAACTTAATTGACACCCCCCTCCCCGTGGTCTTTTGTTTTAAATGGGGGAAACAGAGCAGGGTCTCCAAGTACATGTGGATTTTTGTATATATAGGAGATTTTTTGGGAAAATCAAAAACCCAACACCAGATGCAAGGCACATAAAGGTGTTCCAATAAAATGGATAGATGTCTTTTTCCTCCCCATTTTGCTTTATACTGGGTAATGTACTCTTACAAGTATATACAAAAATTAAATAGACTTCTGCCCTCTAAAGTCTTTCTATTGCATTACTTCAGAATTCTAATTTTGTCTCTATTGATATGTGTTATTAACATCTGAAAATTTTTATTTTATTGGAGAACTAGTTTGTTAGGCCTTGAGAGTTTTGTGACAATTATTTTGCTGTGTTTCACCACAATCATTCACCTTATGGCATGCTTTGATTACTAGACTTGAGGCAGTCTCATTCATTGTATCATACTTACATACAATTAGTTGTTTCCATGTGTGCTATAAGTCTGAGGTGTATAGAGTTTTTATTAAAAAGTGTGCCAGTCTGAATGTAAGCATTTGATTTTTGTAACATTGGACTTTTCTTAAAAGTACAGAGGTTCAAAGTATAGGTATGTCTCTTGGCATAAGGATAGAGTGGGTGAAGGTCTGGGCCAGGATACAGGTTTGCCTGGTCAGAGGCCAGAACAAAGAAGAGCAGTCAACTAAACTGGTGTGTTTCAAAAATAGTGGGCCTGTGTGAAGAGTGAGACCACGTGGGTGTGCACACCTCTTGTCCCCAGGTTTCCCTCCCTCTGAGCTTTTCCTTCCCTCCCTAACTTCTCTGGCCTATTGTCAATGTTGTTTCTTTATACTTAAAGAGAGAAAAACAATGAGATTCCTACACTTTGCCTAATTGAGCCACTACCAGGTTTTCTGGCAGCTGTGGCCACATTATTTGTGAGGTGATTTTTTTCTTTATGTTCAGAGTGACTTTTGATTCTGATTATGTTTTGTATGGAGCGGCACTTTTATCTGTGTTTTAGCAGAACTGTTCCTCTGTATCCTTTACGGTTTTTCCTTTTGTTCCTTTTTAAATTATGCATAGAGTTTTTTTGTGTGTATGAAATTAAAGCCTTTATTAACCTTCTGTTGTTTGGACTGTTATTTCTGAAAAGGACACATTCTTGCTGATACTTATAACAACCCGTTGAAAGTTGTGGAAATCGCCTTCTGTTGGCTTTCTGACTTGGAATTCTTTGCAGCACTGTTACTTCTTAAAGGTAACAGAATGGTAAACCAGTGTTCAGCCATAGTCACCACTGATTCCTGTTATTTTCATCTGAGGAGTCTGTGAAGCTTTGCAGAGGCTTCTGGGTAAGTTTGTAAACCTAGGATGGACCTTCACTAGGCTTTTCCTTTGCCTTATTATTAAGGGTTGGGAGAAGGAGTGAAATAGCATTTGCATTTCATTCTTGCCTTTAGGTCTCAAGCTTAGCCCCAGTGGTTGTGCTGCTCTCACTGGGTACTGTTTGGCATTTGTGAAACCTCCTAAGAGGGCAGTCTTGTGGCCCATTCAACTCTCCTTCAACCCTCTAACTTACCCACTGAATAAGGCAGTAAGGAAAGTATATGTGAAAAGGAAAAGCTGTTATTCTGGGGACATTGTAAACCTGCAAAATGCTTCAGCCTACCTTCCATAGATAAAAATGAGTCATGAGAGAGGACAAGCTAGGTAGTGTCTCAGAACCCTAATGTTCCATGGAGTGTTTCCCTGCTCTTCTAAGAAGAGAAAGCTCTAGAATAGGAGTATTAAAAATGATGCAACACTTCAGGATGGAAATCTAGTGACCTTCCTAGAAGTTGAAATGAGGACCATAGGCTCCTTTTGGGATATCATCTTTCTGAAGGAATAGGTAAATTACTACAAAAGTGGCATTTGCCCAGAGAAGTTTGTGCTCGTAGGCACAACTGTAAAATTTCACTTCAATTGGTGTAGGACTAATACCAGTGATAAAACCCCACAATTACAGTAGGGTGCTGCTTTACAACCACAGCCACTCTTAGAATAGTCCTTTTTCTTTCTTGAGGTTTTGTTGCTTCCATCGAGGCAGAGCAGAGAAGGCAGTTGGAGTCATCCCGAAAGCCTGAGTGAAATCTTCAATGGACAGGTGTTCCTAGAAGAGGGGAGGGCCCAGAGGGCAAAGGTCACATATCCTTCCCTCCTTTCTCCCAGGCCCCATTTGCTCTGATGAGTCATATAGATGTGGCATATAATCAAATAAATGCAGAGTAAAAACACAATGTCAGGAGAGCCAGGAAAGGGATGCAGAGGAGGCAGCTATGGTATGTTGGTATTCCAGAGGTTTGACCCTGAATTTTTTTTTTTTTTTTTTGAGACCATGTCTTGCTGTGTTGCCCAGGCTGGTGTGCAGTGGCACAAACTCAGCTCACTGCAACCTCCACCTCCCAGTTTCAAGATTCTCCTGTCTCAGCCTGGAGGCCAAGTAGCTGGGATTACACACACGCGCCACTGGCTAGTTTTTGTATTTTTAGTAGAGATGGGGTTTTGCCATGTTGGCCAGGCTGGTCTTGGAATGCCTGTCCTCAAGTGATCCACCCACCTTGTCCTCCCAAAGTACTGGGATTATAGGCCTGAGCCACCATGCCCAGCCTGATCTCTGAATTTTTAACAATGAAAAGGATAGCAGTGTGGTAGATTGAGTTTTTCTACTAGGGTCAAGTTCACATTAGCCCAAATAAGAATCAGGACTCTTTCTAAGCCTTAGTTTTCCTCTCTATTAAATGGGGAACGTTTCTTTCTTTTTTCAGAATCTCACTCTATTGCCCGGGCTGAGTGCAGTGCTGCACAATCTCAGCTCACTGCAAGCTCTGCTTCCCAAGATCACACCACTGTACTCCAGCCTGGGCAACAGAGTGAGATTCTGCCAAAAAAAAAAAAGCAACTTGTTAAACCTCATCAGTTTTTTATATTCTTCTGTGAATGTGTCAGATTATTTTGTAGGAGCAGGTTTTGCTTAGAGAGTGGGAGGGTAGCAGCAGATGGTACAACTGAGGTTGGGGAAGGAGTCCAAGAGAAAACACTAGGAAGGCCAAAGGACACATTCCAAACTAAATGTTGCCTTTGAGCAGAAAAGATATTTGGGTAAACAACTTGTACCACCTCTCACCCTGTGAGCGATCCAGAAGATTAGATAGCAGTTTTACGTTTTTACTCTTGGCTTGGAAATCACAACTGGGAGTCACTACCTTTCTAAGCCTTGGTGGTCTTCAGCCGTAAGATGAAGAAATTCACTGAAATGACCTTTGTTCCCAACACTAAGATGATAGGATAATGATACTAAGGCAAGCTAAATACCCTCAAGGCACATTCAATTAAGAGTCCGACATTAAAGCTGCTATAAAACAGCATCTCCCAGCCTTCATCTCTGCTCCCCCAAGCACCAAGAGGTAGACAGTGAAGGTGAGACCTGAGGGTTTCCTTTAATACTTAGGCTGCTCTGCTAAGATGGCATTGGCCTAGGGAATATTTTATTGACTCCCACAGAGAGCCCTGAATTGAACAGCTTCTTAGTAAACACCTATAGATGGATTTCAAGCTCAGGGGGGGTCTGATGCTCTAGTTCTCTAACCTGTCATTAGATTTGCCTCTCACCCTGAGCATTCTCTCCTTAAGGTTCCTGGAAGCCTTCCTCACTCCCCAAGGCAGGGCAGTGGAATGCCTGGTTTTGGTTTGGGGGTTCATTTTGTTTTGGGGGGGGTTTTGAGACAGGGTCCTGCTCTGTCACCCAGGCTGGAGTGTGGTGACATGATCACAGATCACCTGCAGGCCTAGTCTCCTGGGCTCAAGCAGTCTTCCCAGCTAAGCCTCCCGGCTAGCTGGGACTACAGACACCACACGCAGCTAATTTTTTATTTTTTTGTAGAGACAGTGTCTCACTTTGTTTCCCAGGCTGATCTCAAACTCCTGGGCTCAAGCAAAGCCATCTGCCTGCTTTGGCCTCCCAAAGTGCTGGGATTACAGCCACTGCGTTCAGTGAGTGGCTGGTTTTGGAAGGAGAGAGTAAATTTGAATGATATGGACATCAGTGGATGGGGAAGAGCTGCCATACCCCAAATCTGTGTAGCACCCTCCCCCCAGTTTCCTCACGCCTGTGGCTACTATGTTCTAGGTCTGTACTCTCTCTGGTCCAGCCAGGCTGGCTCCTCAGCTTTGTCAAGACTGCTGGACTCTGACCCCTCAGTCTAGATAGCAGGGACTACCCATCCTAGTGGACTTGTATCTTTCCACTGGTCCTGTTCTTGAACCCTGCAGTCCTGCCAGCTGATTACCAGCCACACCCATGCCCACATCCGCCTCCCTGTTGTTTACTCATCAGTGCGCAAATACTGAGATTACCATCTTGCTTTGCCTGCAGCCAGACCTACCACCCCACTGTTGTCACTGGTTCACCTTGCAAGACTGGAGCAGCTAGAGAGGTCTGAAAACCTCTCCTACACTCCCCATGTGACATTAAAGTCAGCTCTCCCACAAGAATATATATTACTTCCATGATTAAAAAAATCAGCCGCAGTCCAGGCACGGTGGCTCACACCTGTAATCCCGGCACTTTGGGAGGTGGAGGTGGGTGGATCACTGAGGTCAGGAGTTTGAGACCAGCCTGACCAATCTGGTGAAACCTTGTCTCTACTGAAAATTAAAAAAAAAATTTAAAAATAAAAAATAAAAAAAAAAATTAACCAGGCATGTAATCTTGGCTACTTTGGAGGTTGAGATAGGAGAATTGCTTGAGTCAGGGAGGTGGAGTTTGCAGTGAGCCAAGATCGTGCCAATGCACTCCAGCCTGGGTGACAGAATGAGACTCCGTCTCAAAAAAAAAAAAAAAAAAAAAAAAACTCCTTTGTGCTACATAGCATGATGGTAACAGTGAGTGGGACTCCGAAGGCCTGGTTCTTGCTCTGGCTTTGCAACTAACTGGTAACATTAGGCAAGTCACTTCATGTCTCTGGACCTCAGTGTAGAACAGGCAATAATAACAGTTTTCATTTGTTGAATACTACACGCCAAGGCTGGGCTTAGCTCATCATTGTACTGGGATCATCATCCCACTGTTACGGTGAAGACAGATGTGCCTCCTACCCTCCTAGCAACTGCACAGATGGGAGAATCCAGGAGACAACATAGGAATGTGCTCTCTAAAGTAAAAGGCAGGATTGAAATTCTCTGGGAACAAAACATTTATACAAATATTGAGCCAAAACCCTTAGCAGACTTTCATGTTCTGAGAGAGACACTAGGCATCTCTTTTCTGTAGATCCCTGGATTCATTTGTAAGACTACTTTTGACTTATCAGACAGAGTATATTATCACTCCATTCAATACCCCTAAGCTAGACTGGCAGTCTATTCTGGATCTTCATGAAGTGGGAATGAATATTAGAAATGTGTTCTTAGGCTGGGTGCAGTGGCTCACATCTGAAATTCCAACACTTTGGGAGACTGAGCCCAGGAAGTTGAGGCTGCAGTAAGCCGTGATTGTAACTGCACTCCAGCCTGGGCAACAGAGCAAGACCCTATCTCAAAACAAACAAACAAAAAACGTGTCTAGCCCCAACCTCCATTCCTCACACACTTAAAGTGTTTTGAACAAGTTCTTGCTGTGCTAACCACAGTTACCAGACAGACCATGTGCTAATGAGTCCTTTTTTTTTTTTTTTTTTTTTTTGGCTGATGAGTCTTAAATGTATATATCTGCCCTGGTGTTCCTCTGAATTGCCTGTCCACTGAATGTGTATCTAAACCTCAAAGGACATAGCTACCACTAAACTCATGATTGTCTTCCCCTGAGCTCAGCCTGATCCTGTTTTCTGTCTTGGAGAATGATGCTATTTTCTGCCCTCTCACACTCTTTATCCAGTAATTACCAAATGTTGTTGATTTTACCTCCTAAATGTTTCTCTCCACCTCCTCCACCATGACCTATTCTAGGTTCCCACCTACCTGTCAGCCTGAGAGCAGCTATGCTGTCTCTCCTAACTGGTGTTCCTATGGCTGCTCTGGCCATCTTCCAGACTATTGTTGAATGAGCAGCTATAATTTTTTTTTAATTTTGAGATGGAGTTTTACTCTTGTCACCCGGGCTGGAGTACAATGGCGTGATCTCGGCTCATTGCAACCTCCACCTCCCAGGTTCAAGTGATTCTCCTGCCTTAGCCTCCCAAGTAGCTGGGATTACAAGCATGTGCCACCATGCCCAGCTATCTTTATAATTTTAGTGGAGACAGGGTTTCACCATGTTGACCAGGCTGGTCTTGAACTCCTGACCTCAGGTGATTCACCCACCTCAGCCTCTCAAAGTGCTGGGATTACAGGCCTGAGCCACCACACCCAGGCAGTAATGTTTTTTAATGTAAATCTGTCACTCTGCTACTTCAACCATTATGATTCCCCTTCACTGTCAGGATACATGATATGATCCTTAACTTGGGATAGAAGGCATTGCCAGTCCAGCCCTGCCTCCCTCCCTGGCTCCGCACACTGCAGCCACTCTGACCATCTTGCAATTTTGCCCCCATGTTTATTCCCTGCCTTTGGGCTTCATGTTAGCTGTTCCTTCATGTCCCTGTCCAGAAATAACTTACATTGCCTCAATAATTCCTATTCACCTTTCAGAAGGAAATCTGACTACATCAGGCTCCTGCTTGTAATACTTTTTTTTTTTTGAGACAGTCTTACTCTGTCACCCAGGGTGGAGTGCAGTGGCATGATTTTGGCTCACTGCAACCTCCACCTCCTGGGTTCAAGAAATGCTTGTGTCTCAGCCTCCTGAGTAGCTTGGATTATAGGCATGTACCACCAAGCCTGGCTAATTTTTGTATTTTTAGTAGAGATGGGGTTTCACCATATTGGTCAGCCTGGTCTTGAACTCCTGGCCTCTGGTGATTCACCTGCCTCGGCTTCCCAAAGTGCTAGGATTACAGGCGTGAGCCACCACACCCAGCCTTGTTTGTAATACCCTTCACAGTTCCTATACTTCACCTTTCTGGCACTTAACCCTGAAATTAAATCATAGTGGAACCAGGCTTCTCTGTTCTCTCTCCTCCTTGGAGGTAAGCTGGCATGAAGGCAGAATCTCATCTGTCTTGTTCACCAGGGCATCCCCAGCACCTAGTCACCTGCAAGGCCAAATCTGGGCATCAACTACGGTGGTTCAACAAATGGACTTCTTTGTCCTCCTTTGAGAGTCTGACCTACCTCCTTCCTGCTGGGGTCCACACCCTCGGGGAGCTCCTCTACAGGCTTGTTCACTAGCTTCTCCAGGGGGAAGATGGGCAGAGGCCCAGAACTGAGGTTGGTGTTAGCATTGAACACATCCACTTTGGGGCTTGTGATCTCCTAGGAAAGAAAAGGAAACCATTGGTTGCTTTAGCTGGTGCGCACTACCTCCCAGGCTGCCTTTCTCTCTGAAGTCAACATTGATTCTAGGGCACCACCTTCAAGAAGCTTCCCATGTCCCATCCCACCCTGCCACACACACACTCATAAGAACACAACATAGGCCAGGCGTGGTGGCTCACACCTGTAATCCCAACACTTTGGGAGGGAGCCGAGGTGGGTGAATCACTTGAGGTCAGGAGTTCAAGACCAGCCTGGCCAACATGATGAAACCCCGTCTTCACTAAAAATACAAAAATTAGCCATGTATGATGGCAGGCGCCTGTAATCCCAGCTACTCAGGATTAGCTGAGGCAGGACAGTCGTTTGAACCTGGGAGGTAGAAGTTGCAGAGAGCTGAGATTGCACCACTACACTCCAGCCTGGGTGGCAGAGAGAGACTCCTCAAAAAACAAAAACAAAAACAAAAAACCCACAACATAGAGCTTAGTGGTCTGTTCTGATCAAAGTCCATTAGTGGAAAATGCGTCTTTTCTTTAATGACTCATTAACTTCCCCATGGCTTCCTCTAGAGTTTGAGATCTAGCCTGGATATTTATGACCCTGTCTCTCCTATCTGTTGTGAAATTGTCATCCATAAATTCACTTAACCTTGACCTATCTATACATGCAAGTGTGCACTCTCAGTCTACCAAGAAGGGTTGGTTTCAACCATCTGTTGATTATACCACAGTGTACTTGTGAACTTGTTCTTGAGTTTTGGACACATTTCTCAGAGTTAGCTCTGTCTTGTTCCCTCTATAAGCCTGTGAGCATCTCAAAGCAAAGGTTTTGATTTCATATTCCCATATCCAAGGCCTAAAGGCTAAGTATATTTCTCTTTGGGTTTTTTGGGGGAGAGGAGGGTTGTTTTTTTGAGATGGGGTCTGACTCCGTTGCCCAGGCTGGGTGGAGTGCAGTGGCACAATTTCAGCTCACTGCAACCTCTGCCTCCCGGGCTCAAACCAACCTCCTACCTCAGCCTCTTGAGTAGCTAGGACCACAGGTGCACACAGCACGCCTGGCTGGGTTTTCTTTATAAAGACAGGGTTTCCCCATATTGCCAAGACTAGTCTCAAACTCCTAGGCTCAAGTAATCCACCCACCTCTGCCTCCCAAAGTGCTGGAATTACAGGTGTGAGCCGCCACACCCAGCCTAAATAAATTTCCGTTAACTCACTGAAAGACCAAAGGAGTTACAGTTATTCTACCAAGAGAAGGGACCCCAAGGGTGGTGATTTCTTTTATTTATTTATTTATTTATTTGAGACAGAGTTTCACTCTTGTTACCCAGGCTGGAGTGCAATGGCACGATCTCGGCTCACTGCAACCTCTGCCTCCTGGGTTCAGGCAATTCTCCTGCCTCAGCCTCCTGAGTAGCTGCGATTACAGGCATGCGCCACCATGCCCAGCTAATTTTTTTTTTTGTATTTTTAGTAGAGACGGGGTTTCACCATGTTGACCAGGATGGTCTCGATCTCTTGACCTCGTGATCCACCCGCCTCAGCCTCCCAAAGTGCTGGGATTACAGGCTTGAGCCACCGCGCCCGGCCAAGGGTGGTGATTTCTATTTCTTAACGTGTAGTTCATTGACTACATGAAATTACCTTTTTAAAATAAGATTTAAAAGATGCAGATTTCTAGGTGCCAACCCTAAGTCTGTAAACCAGAATCTTTGGGAACAGGGCCTTGGAATCTGTATTTTAATATGCTTCCCCCTCACTCCCTGCCTTCCATCTCCCAGACTCCATGTATGATAAAACTTGAGAACCAGGCTGGGTGTGGTGGCTCATGCCTGTAATCCCAGCACTTTAGGAGGCCAAGGCAGGTGGATCACTTGATCTTGAACAAGACCAGCCTGGCCAACATGGTGAAACCCCATCTTTACTAAAATACAAAAATTAGCTGGGTCTGGTGGCACGCACCTGTAATCCTGGCTACTTGGGAGATTGAGGCATGAGACTCACTTGAACCCTGGAGACGGAGGTTGCAGTGAGCCAAGATCACACCACTGCACTCCAGCCTGGGAGGCAGAGTGAAACTATGTTTCAAAAAAAAGAGCCGTGTGGTGGCTCACGCCTATAATCCCAGCACTTTGGGAGGCCGAGGCGGGTGGATCATGAGGTCAAGAGATCGAGACCATCCTGGTCAACAAGGTGAAACCCCGTCTCTACTAAAAAATACAAAAATTAGCTGGGCATGGTGGTGCACGCCTGTAGTCCCAGCTACTTGGGAGGCTGAGGCAGGAGAATTGCTTGAACCCAGGAGGAGGTTGTGGTGAGCTGAGATCGCGCCATTGCACTCCAGCCTGAGTAACAAGAGCGAAACTCCATCTCAAAAAAAAAAAAGAGAGAGAATCATTTTACTAGAAAATTGAGGAAACAAAACCACTAGAGGCACTGGAGTCAAACAGCAAGAAGAATGAGAAGTGGGGAGAAACAGGAGGGAAAGCGCAGGGCACTGGTGTCTTCTCTGCAGCATTCTTGACTTTCAGAGGCCTGACCACCAGCTGGCCACAGCAGGGCCCTGCCACCCTGCCCCAGACTCACAGCAGTGATCTGGCTCCAGTCTCTAGAGTTGCCAAGCTCCTCCTTCAGGTCCTCATAGGATTTTGTGTTCTGCATGTAAAGTAAATAACAGATTAGAGCTGGGTCGCAGCAGAGGGGATGGATGAGAAGCCATTTTCCTTCAAGAATGGAAAGAAGGCTGGTCTGAGGCCTTCAGGAAAGGAAGGAGGATACTCAGGCTGAGTCTGGAGGAGGGTCCTTGAAAAAGGAGATTAAATGGTTAGGTTGGGACCAGAGGGGCTGCCAGATCAGAAAAGGGCAGGGCAGGCTGTATTTGTCCCAGCTCAGCCCGACATGGGCATGGGGAGGATCTTTTCCCATCTGCCTGGGCCAGTGCAAGCACCCACAGGCAGTGTGGAAGACCCTGCCTAGGCTACGTAGGCTCCGGGGAATGGAGGGCTTCTGGCAGTGGGCAGGGGGGTCCCCCCAGACCTATAATGGAGCCCTGCCACAGAGGAGTGAAGGGACCATGAGCTCTCTGAGGAGCCATCTCCATATTCTGGAGCACACTTATGCTGAATGAATGAGGCTGAGAAAGAAGCCAGCACACAGGAGGTGAGGGAAGGGTGGTAACTGAAGTGGGCTGAGAAAACCTGGCATCTCGATTTGCTGCCTTGAGAATTGTTTGAATCCATCCTCAAGACTTAAATTCAGCCCATCTAACTGCAGAATTTAAAAATAAAAAAAAAAAAAAAAAAAAAAAACAGATTTAAGGAAATTAAGCTTTCTGTTTCCCTAAACTCATCTGTTATGCCAATTTAGAGCACCCAGAGCCGCCAGGCCAGGCCTCGCTCTACTCTGGCCTTCTTTCGACAGAAAACCTTTGCTGGAGTTCCTTTTGGGGGATCTGCCCTCTGCTCCTGTGTGGGGCCAGTTTGAGAAATGCCCCGGGGGAGCCTGGCACACCATCCCTCAGGGAAGGGCCACACACATGACCTATTTTGCTTAGAATTTAGCACCAGGAAGACGTTTGTCAGTTCTTGAGATCCGACGTGTTTCATCTGGCACTGAGGGTCCGCCGTGTTGCTGCGATGATGAGAACATTCTCACTTGTGCTGCCCAACACAGTAGCCGCCTGCCACGTGTGGCTAGTGACAAACTGAATTTTGAACTGTGTTTAATTTTAAGTAATCGGTACGTTTCTTACCTATGCTATCCAGCAGCTTCACTCTAAATGTAGCATGCATAGACTTCTTCCCTCTCCCTCACCAGGAAGCTTAACGGCCTTCACACAGCCTTACTTTCTATTCTAAGCCTCCTTTAGCCCCTTTCTAAATCAGCAGGTCATGCATCTCAAAGGGACAGAGAGGCCTTCCGAAATCAGCCTGCTCTCCAGGCAAGGCTAGAGCAGAACGTGCTGGGATGAGGCCACTCACACTCCACTTGAAGGGATCCCAAGCCAGGAACCAGCCTGTGAAGGTGGGGGGCTCATGTCCCTGCTTCACCACAATGATGGGGGTTTCGGGGTCACGCCCGCTGGGATGGGTCTTGAGGTATTCCTGCACCGTGGCTGCTGCAGCCTTCTTCTCCTCCTCGTTGGCATGTTTCCCAATCCAGAAGAAGACCTGTTGAGAAACCCAGGAAGTCAGACCTTCCTGTCCTCCCTGGCCTGCAGAGATCTGCCTCAGTTGTCCAACAGTGAAGCCCTCACCCTGACCCTGACTCTACCACTACCAGCCAAATGACCTAGGGGAGGCACCAACTGGCCTTGAATTTGTATCTGGGAAATTGTGAGTTTGGACAGATGCCTTGTACCTGGATATTCCGTAAATGTGTGACTCCTAGACTGTCTAAAGCTCAGGATTCTCAAAAACACTCCTGCTGCCATGTGAAATAAATAGGACTTTGGGAGAGAATGCATTCTCCCCTGCAGCCCCTCTGAGTACGCTCCTCCCCACCTCCCTTCTTTCTTATGCTCCTGGTGTTCATAATACCATTTCCAGGCAGAAATTACATGAGGGCCAAGAAAATGTTGACACTTATCTAACCCTAAAACCACTCTTTCTTGGCCCTGGGAATTGAGGTGGCTGGGAAGTGGGGTGCCCAGGCCCTCTGTCCTACCTGGTCCCAGACATCTAGTAGGAACACATCATCCTCTTCCAAGTCGTCCTGACTGAAGTCGGGGATCTCTATGGCCAGGAAGCGCCCAGTCTGGTTGGAACATTCAAAGAGCCGGGGGGTAATGACCAGGTTTTCTTCCTGTAGTCTGCAGGATGGAGAGAAGATTGTACTGGCAGAAGGAAGGTGTGGCAAAGGAGAATCGAGGACACAGAACTGAGGGAGGGACTCTGGCATGGAAAGGCCATCTCCAGCAAAATGCCCTGTCTTCTGATTGACAAAAGGGTCCCCTCTCATTCCAAGAGTGCTCCGAGGGAGAAATTCCCACTGCTTTCTGGACACGCATTCCAGTGGCTTTTGCAGAGCCTTGTTAGGAATTTCTTCCTGATATCCTCCCTCCATCCCTCCTGCTGCTACTGCAGTACAGGCCCTTTTGTTTTTTAACTAGGGACTAGGGGATCAGGGATATTCTCTAGAAAAACCACTTAAGGCCAGGCAAGGTGGCTCACGCCTGTAATCCCAGCACTTTGGGAGGCTGAGGTGGGCAGATCACCAGGTCAAAAATGAAGACTGTCCTGCCAACAGGTGAAACCCCATCTCTACTAAAAATACAAAAATTAGCTGGGCGTGGTGGCACGTGCCTGTAATTCCAGCTACTCGGGAGGCTGAGGCAGGAGAATTGCTTGAACCCGGGAGGCAGAGGTTACAGTAAGCCGAGATCCCACCGGGCACAGTGACTCATGCCTGTAATCTTAGCACTTTGGGAGTCTGTGATAGGTGGATTACCTGAGGTCAGGAGTTCGAGATCAGCCTGGCCAACATGGTGAAACTCTGTCTCTACTAAAAATACAAAAATTGGGCAGGGCATGGTGGCTCACGCCTGTAATCCAAGCACTTTGGAGGCCAAGGCAGGTGGATCACCTGAGGTTGGGAGTTCAAGACCAGCCTGACCAACATGGTGAAACCCTGTCTTTAAAAAAAAGAAAAGAAAAAAAACCAAAAATACAAAAATTACACAGGCATGGTGGTGGGCGCCTGTAATCCCAGCTACCCAGGAGGCTGGGGCAGGAGAATTGCCAGAACCCAGGAGGCAGGGGCTGCACTGAGCTGAGATTGCACCACTGCACTCCAGCCTGGGTGACAGAGCTAGACTCTGTCACAAAAACAAAACAAAAGAAAACTTTTTGAAAGAGGGTTTGTGGCTTGTGCTCCTCAGTATCCCAGGCCTGTCTCAGTATGTCCAGGACCTAAAGGCAGGCTGGACTCTGGCACCTTCTTACTGAAAGGCAAACCTGTAGCCCTGCCCCTCTCTTTGAGCTGCCTCCTATGGCCAGGAATTCCCTTTGCCAAGGAAAACCCCACCAGGTCCTGCACATACTGTAGTGAGCAGTACAGACACAGCCCCTGTGCCAAGGGGCTCCAAGGGCATGGGCTACCCTTTATTCATCTTGTAGCCCTGAGGGACTGGCATGGTGCCTGACATAGAGTCCTCAGTCCATGCCTGCTGTGGGCTCTGGGTGTGGGGATGGAGATGCTAGAGGCTCCCCTACCTTGGTAACCTAGAGGCGGGGGGACCTGTGAGTTACCTCTTGGTGTTGGCATAGGGAGCCTTCCCGCCCAGGGCCATCCAGAAGTTGGCTGGCTCCTGCCCTTCCACCACCACTTGCTTCTCTGTCCGGGAGATGGTGTCAGCAACCATCTTGGCCATCTCCCGCTCGTCCCCACTACAGCCCTGGGAAAACAAAGGGGTTGGCCAATTTCTAGTGCCACCCCTACCTCCACCCTCCTACCACATTCACCGCCCAGAGTTCCAGGGCCTAAGAAGGCTCGCCTGGGTCAGGACCCACCCTGTGTATATAGGGCACACAGGGACAATTCCATGCTCTCCTTTGTCCTTAACATTCCAGAGAATAGCAGAGAAAACTAGAGTCTTTTCAAGGGTGGGCGAGGGACTCTAAGAGGCAGTGCATTCTTCTTACAGAGATTAAAGGAGAATCTGTGTAAGAATACCAAGGTCTGCTGCATAACTGGGGGACTCCCAGGACCCACTTGGGGATGGGGAGGCCTCTAGGCCCTGAACACACCTTCCCACACCATAGGTAGCAGCAAGACTGGGTCTTGAGGACAAAGACATCATTGGAATTGAGGGAACTGGCCCGCGCTGGGACCTCAAAGGCCTTGGTGTTGCTGGCTCTGGTTCCCTGGACCTGGAACAGCCGTGTGGAGGGCCCAGGCTCCAAGTTGTTACCTCGGGAGGTGCCTCCCTGCAAGTGAGCGGAGAAGGCAGGGAGGGAGACAGGAGTCACTTAGTAAAGAAGATGATGGGGGAACAGAGAGGCACAAAGAGCCAGAGAGGGAGAGGGTAGGGCGGGGCAGCCTGCCCTGCAGCTCCTCTGATGCTCTGTCTTCAGCTCTTTCTAAAACATTGCTTGCATCGTGGCAATTCTCTGCTCAAAAACATTCAGTGAGTCCCCATTGCCTAAAGCCCAGCTCCTCAGCGGTGCCTTTGAAGGCCCCACGTGACGAAGATGCAAACTGCCTTTGTTGACATTGCTACTGCCAACCCTCCAGCTTAGCTGTGCCAGGCTTTTTTTTTTGAGACAAAGTCTCGCTCTGTTGCCCAGGCTGGAGTGCAATGGTGTGATCTTGGCTCACTGCCTCCCAGGTTCAATTCTCCTGCCTCAGCCTCCTGAGTAGCTGAGACTACAGGCGCTCACCACCACGCCTGGCTAATTTTTTGTATCTTTAGTAGAGACGGGGGTTCAGGGTTCACCATGCTGACAAGGCTGGTCTCAAACTCCTGACCCCAGGAGATCCACCTATCTCAGACTCCCAAAATGCTGGGAATACAGGTGCGAACCATCGCACCCAGCCAGCTCCATCAGTCTTCTGATGTTCCCCGTGGAGCCTCTCCCTGGGCCCTTGTCCTTGCTGTGCCCCTGCATTGCATGCCCTCGATTTACCTCTGCTAAACTCCTCAACTCTGACCCAAATGTCAAGACAAATGTCTCCTCCAATTCCCCTCCTGCCCATTAACTCTATGGCATTCCCAGATTATTGTACTCCAGCCAACAAGATGATAAACTGTATTAACGTGCCGTTCTTTCCCTTGCTTGGGGACTTGCAAAGGACTGTGTGTTTCAGGTGCTCAATAGGCAGATTATTGCTTAAATAGTTGCATTAGATGTCTGTTTCATTTTGTTGGAAGGCACCAATGCAGTTTGCACAGGTGCATCATTTCGGCAAATCTAGCCAAAATATCTTCTTTTTTATGTAAAGGATTTAAGGAGTTGGAGTGTAGAGGGCAGGCAGTACTTGCACATGGTGAATGCTCATTACACCACATCTTCCTTCTTTCTTTCCTTCCTTCCTTCCTTCTTCCTTCCTTCCTTCTTTCTCTCTCTCCCTCCCTCTCTCTCCCTCCCCCTCTCTCTCTCTTTCTTTGTTTCGATGGAGTTTCATTCTTGTTGCTCAGGCTGGAGTGCAGTGGCACAATCTCAGCTCACTACCACCTCCACCACCCGGGTTCAAGTAGTTCTCTTGCCTCAGCCTCCCAAGTAGCTGGGATTACAGACATGTGCCACCACGCCTGGCTAATTTTTGTATTTAATAGAGACAGGGTTTTTCCATGTTGGTCAAACTTGGTCTTGAACTCCTGACCTCAGGTGATCCACCCACCTTGGCCTCTCAAAATGCTGGGATTATAGATGTGAGCCATTGTGCCTGGCTTCATATATATATATGTATTTTTTTTTTTTTTTTTTGAGATGGAGTCTCGCTCTGTCACCTAGGCTGGAGAGCAATGGCATGATCTCGGCTCACTGCAACCTCTGCCTCCTGGGTTCAAGCAATTCTTCTGCCTCAGCCTCCTGCGTAGCTGAGATTACAGGCACCAGCCATCATGCCCGGCTAATTTTTGTATTTTTGTAGAGATGGGGTTTCACCATGTTGGCTAAGCTGGTCTTGAACTCCTGACCTCAGGTGATTCACCCACCTCAGCCTCCAAAAGTGCTGGGATTACAGGCATGAGCCACTGCACCCGGCCCAATTACACATATTTCTAAAGTAACCAAATGGGTTGTTTCTATTACCAGTTACACATAGGTGATAGAGCCTCCAGGGTAGTCTCCTATGAAGAATGGGCTTCACCCCAAGCCCTGCCTTTACCACCCACCCCCTTCCTCATCTCCTGGATGCCTGTCTCGCCTCAGTTCAGGAGCCATACCTGGTAGACAACCATGCGTCCCTTGAAGATGGACATAAGATGAGGCGGCTCCTTGCCCATTGGGACCCGGATCTGGACTGGTTCACCATTGTACTTCTGGTCGAGGATGACAGCTTGATAAGCTGATGCAGCAATTTCATCTTGGCTGGCCTGGCTGCCCTGGGGATAAGCAGGAGGGAGTGAGTGGGATAGGGTCAGCTCCCACTTCTAACCCCATCCTCAGCCTCAGCAACAACTTCATCCCCAATTCTAATCTGGTTCTAAACCTAATTGTCTTCCCCACCAGACTCTGCTGTGAAACAGCCACAACCCTGATCTGACCCAGACCTCAGTTCTGACCTCAACCTCAAACCTAATTCTTTCCCAGACCCAGACCAGCCCTGACCTGCCTGCAACCCCAGCCTTGACCCTGAACTTCCTCCTCTCCTTTCTGCTCCTCCCTCAGCGAAGCATCACAGGCCCCACACCACTGACTCCCAGCACCTCCCTGTTCCTTCTAGACACAAAAACCCACGGGCAGAGCAGGTGACAAGAATGTGCAGAAGGCAATTAAAATTGGAAGAGAGACTCAGAGAACCAAAAGGAAAAGGGCTGTGAATGGGGTACTAGTGGGACCTCGTAGCCAAGGCAGTCCATCTTTAAGGGGTGAGCTCCCCATCCCCAGAGGAATTCAACCCAAGGGTGATGGCCACTTAGCAGGAGTATGTACAAGGTGGCGCTAAGCCAGCTGTGCTCTAGGTGGGACAGGGCGGGACCTTACCTGCCAGATGTAGAGTAGGTAGTGCTGCTTCTCGCCGATGAGGTAGGTGTAGAGCAGCAGGTAGCAGTCGCCCCCATAGAAGTGGCCTAGCCACTTGGAATCCACAGGTGCCAGCTCTAGGTCCTCAATGCGCCACACCTAGGGCCAGTATTAGGCCAGGGTGAGGTCCAGAACAGGCTCCACCATCCCTGCTCCACCCAGCATGGGCCTCTCTGCCCTCACATACCTGCACGTCCCCACTCCCATCATCCACCATCTTCTGCTGGGCAGCCACCTGAGGCTGGACATGCATGGACGAGGCATCGAACTTCACCTGCTCCACCTTGGCTAGAGTAGGAGAAATCATGACACCAATTGTCACCAGCAGAGGTCCCTCAGGTCCTCACAACAGCCCTGAATGGCGGCTACAATTCTTAGACCAATTTTCAGATGAGGAAACTGAAGCAAGAGAGATTCAGTAGTTTACCTGGTTGCATAGAATGTGCCACAGCTACAGTAGAGAACCATACATCCCTGCTTCTAAGACTCCTGCTTCATTAGTGCCTCCCAGGGAGCCAGAAGCAGCACAAGAGCAAGACTGTGGCTTTACTGATCTACTCCATCCTGACCCTGCAGCATTCAGACTTCAAGCCTTGACCTTGTCTCCAAGCTCAGGAGGAAGCTCTGTGATGATGAGGGCTACACATTTTTGTTTCTCCTCCCCCAGCTGCCAGGCACCAAGCTTGCCCTCAGCAAATACTGGCTGGTAAGAGGCTGAAGCTATTTGGTTTCCAGGGAGGCCCAACCCTATCCCAAATGAAACATCACTCTCAGCTCCCCCGATTTTTTTTTTTTTTTTTTTTTTTTTTTGAGATGGCGTTTCACTCTTGTTGCCCAGGCTGGAGTACAATGGGCTCACTGCAACCTTCGCTCAGCTCACTGCAACCTTCACCTCCTGAATTCAAGCGATTCTCCTGCCTCAGCCTCCCGAGTAGCTGGGATTACAGGCATGGCATGTGCCACCACACTTGGCTATTTTTTTTTTTTTTTTTTTTTTTTTTGGTATTTCATAGATATGGGGTTTCACCGTGTTAGGCTGGTCAGGTGATCCACCCGCCACGGCCTCCCAAAGTGCTGAGATTAGAGGCATGCACCACTGTGCCCGACACTCTCAGCTCCCTTTTTGTTACAATTGGAGTTTGTCCATGTCCTGACCCATTGGGATAAGCCCAGAGCCAGCGTAAAAGTCTTTGTGGAAGATGCATGTCGGGAAGGACAGTAGGGGCTGGACCAAGTGGCTCTCCTGGCCTAGCCCCTGGATCCTGGCTCCCTCACTGCCCCCGCCTGGCTCTCACCCACGGAGCCCACAGTGTGGGTTTTGCCCAGGCCTGAGGTCCGGTTGGGCACGGTCCACTTCTGGAAGAGTTGCTGAAAGACGGCCGACTCTGCCCCGTCATTCTGCACCTCCACCTGTGTGCTTGGCGGGTACTGCTTGGCTTTGATGAAGTTCTGGAAAGAGAAATGGGTGGCTGGAAGCTATGCCCCTCCCCTGGTCCCCACTCCCAATGCAAGCCAAATCTGGCTCTAACCCCAACCAGATCCACCATCAGATCTACCCCTGGTACCAAACCTGAACCCAAACCCAGTGCCGATGCCAATTCCCAACCTAACCCTACCCTGACCCCAACATCGAGGTCAAACCTGATATACCATGAACCTAACACTGGCCTCAAGCCTCACTGTGACCTCAATCTAATACCCAAACCCAACTCTGACCCCAATCCCAAAGCCAAATCTAATTCCTAGTGTGACCCTACCTCATGCTAACCCTAATGCCCAGTCCCCTATCCAACACTGGCCCCAAGCCAGTTAGGGTTACATCTCCAGCCCCAGCAATGACCCCAAACTCTGACTTGGCCCTCGTCTAAGCTGACCCAATCCCCTTTTGTAGGAAGCCAGCCTCCCTCCATTTCTCCTTCCCTTACCTTCTTTTTTTTTTTTGAGATGGAGTCTTGCTCTGTCACCCAGGCTGGAATGCAGTGGCTCACTGCACCTCTGCCTCCTGGGTTCAAGTAATTCTCTCTTGCCTCAGCCTCCTGAGTAGCTGGGACTACAGGTGCCTGCCACCACACCCAGCTAATTTTTGTATTTTTAGTAGAGACAGGGTTTTGCCATATTGGCCAGGCTGGTCTCAAACTCTGACCTTGTGATCCACCCACCTCGGCCTCCCAAAGTGCTGGGATCACAGGTGTGAGCCACTGTGCCAGCTCTCCTTCCCTTCTCTAAACCCAGCTCAGGTGCCGGGAGGTGAGAGCCCACATCTTGAGGTGGCCCCATGGTTGCCTGGTGGATGGCTCCCTGGTGTGCAGAAAACCCCCAAGATGACTACAGAATGGTCCTTCAGCTCCTCCCATTGGGCCGTGCCCAGTCCCCATCCTGCCCCTCCCAGCCTTCCCTGCCTCTGCCTGGTGCTGTGCTCTGGTCTGAATCTGCCTGCCCACCCCATGCTGTTCTCTCTCCCATCACTCTGCCCTCCTCCTGGGCCCCCACCCCTACCAGTGCATAGTTCACGGCTCCCTTCTTCTCCCGCTCATTGGCATTCTTCCCCTTCCACACGTAAATCTTCAGGCCCCCCTGGTCCAGGATGTAACAGTCCTAGAGTCCGGAGAGGTTAAGAGTCTGATGGAGCTGGAAGTGCTGGACTGGGACAGCCTCACACACACACACACAAGTCTCTCCCTCCCATGCCCACCCCAACCTCCTGGAATTTTTCTGCTTGAGGGAGAGGGGGCCATGCTGCAGTGGGCTCGGGGTCTCCAGACCCTCTCACCTCGTGACTGAGCAGGTTTTGCGTCAGCGGCCGCGTGGCGATTTCCCTCATCACCAGATTCCCCTCGGAGTCAGACACACTGCAGGACAGAAGCAAGGCATAGATGGGGAGGGAACCCATGCCCCTCAGCCAGGGCACCTGCCCCCGGGGAGTCCCCAGCACCCAGGAAGACCCCACTGGGTTCTCACTGGTACAGCTTGAGTGCGGCCTTGAGCGCCGGCTCCACCACCGTGTCGGGCACAGCTGCCTTCAGCTCACGGCGCTTGCCCAGCACGTAGTTCATCACCTCCATCAGCTGCGGAGATGCCGATTCATTCTCTCCATCCACCACACCTATGTAGGTGCGCCCTCCTCGCTCCTGGTCTCGGATCTCCTTGGCCAGAGTCATGCCCTGCAGGAAGGCCCCTGGTAACCCGTCGGGAGGAGTGGGGGAAAAGGCAGTGTCTGCCACCCCATACCCTGCCAGACAAGCCCGGATCACCTGCAGCAGCCACAAGGGTTGAGTCCCCTGCCCTGCTTTTCCCATTGGAGGGACCACACTTTTAAGCCATGTAAGGAAACCAGGGGAGAGGTAGCTGGGAGAGCAGGCTTGCTGGGTCTTCTGTTCTGACAGCGTGGGAAATGTGTGCTTAGACCTCACAGTTTAGGACTAGAGCCCAGCCCCAAGGATCACAGTACTCAATCTCTTTGCCCCAAAACATGCTTGCAGCCTCACAGTGCACGCGTCAATATACTGCAAGTAGAAACACGTGCATGCCCATGCCAGTTTCATTCACTGCTGGATCAACAAGGCTGGGCACAGGCTCTGCCACATTGTAAGCACTCATTCTATCTGAGTGGACTGGCCGCAAGCACACACATGCAAACTCCAACACGCACGCCTGCCCCAAACACATGGAGACAGATCCACCTACAACCGCTGTCCCCAGCAGTCAGCAGGGAGAGGCCTAGGGAAAGGGAGCCGACGGGCATAGGTGCTGGGTCTGCAGGAGCAGGCGGGGGTAGGCTAGGATTTGAGAGGGAGGTGTGGTGCATGGGCAGGTTACCCTGAGTCTCTCCATGCGGTTACTTTCAGGTCCGTTCCACTGGATGATTAGCTTCCCGAGGTCCAGGAGGAAAACATCCCCCCGGTTGAAACTCTTCCAGGACATCTCTACCTAGGGAGCCACAGGGAAGGTGCAGACCCCACTCAGAGCTCACCTATCATCCATCATCTTGGCCACCGCTCCCTGCCTCTCACCCCTCCTCAGCCCCTGCCCTCTATCCTGGGCCTCACAGCCCTGGCCGATGCTCCAGCGGGGCCTGCCTACCTCTCCAGCTACCACGTTCCTCTTGCCCTTGACATGCAGCAGCCTCTGGACATCAAAGGAGTTGGTCTCCACATGCTTCATGCCAGAAGCCACGCCCCCTTTCTGGATCCTGAGAAGAGAGGTGAGCTGATCCGAGGGAGTGGGCTGGGAGGTGTGCCTGGTCCCTGTTCTCCCAGGTCCCAGCTGCCGAGCTGGAGCCATGTGAGGGCCAGGCTGGGACTAGGTGAGGTGAATGAGGTGCTGAGGGCGCAAACTTTAGGGAGTCCTGCACTGTCAGGTCGGCCTGTGGCGTGCCCTTGCACACCCTGACAGTTACAGCGACCTTAAAATCTGCACCCTAACACTGCTGGGCGCGTTGGCTCATGCCTGTAATCCCAGCACTTTAGGAGGCTGAGGCAGGTGGATCACGAGGTCAAGAGATCGAGACCATCCTGGTCAACATGGTGAAACCCCGTCTCTACTAAAAATATAAAAAAATTAGCTGGGCATGGTGGTGTGTGCCTGTAATCCCAGCTGCTCAGGAGGCTGAGGCAGGAGAATTGCCTGAACCCAGGAGGCGGAGGTTGCGGTGAGCCAAGATTGCGCTATCGCACTCCAGCCTAGGTAACAAGCGAAACTCCGTCTAAAAAAAAAAAAAAACTGCACCCTAACAAAAACAAGCAATGGGGAAAAGATTCCCTGTTTGATAAATGGTGTTGGGAAAACTGGCTAGCCATGTGTGGAAAGCAGAAACTGGACCCCTTCCTGACACCTTACACTAAAATTAACTCCAGATGGATTAAAGACTTCAACACAAGACCTAACACCATAAAAACCCTAGAAGAAAGTCTAGGCAAAACCATTTAGGACATAGGCATAGGCAAGGACTTCATGACCAAAACACCAAAAGCATTGGCAACAAAAGCCAAAATAGACAAATGGGGCCTAATCAAACTCCACAGCTTCTACACAGAAAAAGAAACAGTCATCCGAGTGAATCAGCAACCAAAATGGGAAAACATTTTTGCAGTTTACCCATCTGACAAAGGGCTGATATCCAGAATCTACAAAGAACTAAAACAGATTTACAAGAAAAAAACAAACAACCCATTCAAAAGTGGGCAAAGGATATGAACAGACACTTTACAAAAGAAGACATACATGAGGCCAACAAACATATGAAAAAATGCTCATCATCACTGGTCATTAGAGAGATGCAAATCAGAACCACATTGAGATACCATCTCACGCCAGTTAGAATGGCGATCATTAAAAAATCAGGAGACAACAGATGCTGGAGAGGATGTGGAGAAATAGGAACACTTTTACACTGTTGGTGTAAGAGAGTGCAGCAATTCCTCAAAAACCTAGAAATAGAAATTCCATTTGACCCAGCAATCCCATTACTGGGTATATATCCAAAGGACTATAAATCGTTCTACTATAAGGACACATGCACACGAATGTTCATTGCAGCACTGTTTACAATAGCAAAGACCTGGAACCAACCCAAAGCCCATCAATAATAGACTGGACAGGGAAAATGTGGCACATATACACCATGGAATATTATGCAGCCATGAAAAGCAATGAGTTTGTGTCCTTTGCAGGGACATGGATGAACCTGGAAACCATCATTCTCAACAAACTGACACAAGAACAGAAAATCAAACACCACCTGTTCTCACTCATAGGTGGGTGTTAAACAACGAGAACACATGGACACAGGGAGGGGAGCATCACACACTGGGGTCTGCCGGGGAAACAGGGGAGGGACAGTGGGGGGTGGAGAGTTGGGGAGAGCTAGCATGGGGAGAAATGCCAGATATAGGTGATGGGGAGGAAGGCAGCAAATCACACTGCCATGTGTGTACCTATGCAACAATCTTGCATGTTCCTCACATGTACCCCAAAACCTAAAATGCAATTAAAAAAAAACTTTGCCTTGACAAGCTCTCTCACTTTTGTGGGGCTAGGGTAGGGGAGTGGCAACGTTTAGGTATAACCATGATAATTTAAAAGTTCCTGTATTTAGGCCTACCAGCGATTTGGTATACTGGGAAATCCTGGTAATTCCCCTCCTCTGTTATGTACCCTCTGATAGGAACTGGGCAGAATAAAACCGCTATTAAAAAAAAACAAAAAAAACTGCACCCTAAGCTGGGTGTGGTGGCTCACACCTGTAATCCCAGCACTTTGGGAGGCTGAGGCAGGCGAATCACCTGAGGTCAGGAGTTTGAGACCAGCCTGGGCAACATGGTAAAACCCTATTTCTACCAAAAATATAAAAATTAGCTGGGTGTGGTGGCGGGTACCTGTAATATCAGCTACTTGGGAGGCTGAGGCAGGAGAATCACCTGAACCCGGGAGGTGGAAGTTGCAGTGAGCCAAGATCGCACCACTGCACTCCAGCCTGGGCAACAAGAGCGAAACTCCATCTCAAAACAAAACAAAACTGCAACCTAGATCCTCACTCACCTCACCCAAGTCCCTGCCCTATGGAGATGCCTGCAAAGATAGGGTCATGATATATGAATAGTGGGTAATGTCTTAACAGGCCAGGTGCGGTAGCTCACCCCTGTAATCCCCGCACTTTGGGAGGCCAAGGTGGATGGATCATTTGAGGTCAGGAGTTTCAGACCAGCCTGACCAACATGGCGAAACCCCATCTCTACTAAAAATACAAAAGTTAGCTAGGCATGGCAGTGCACGCCTGTAGTCCCAGCTACTTGGGAGGCTGAGGCAGGAGAATCGCTTGAACCTGGGAGGTGGAGGTTTGCAGTGGGCCGAGATCGCACTACTGCATGCCAGCCTGGGCGAGAGAGTGAGACTCCATCTCAAAAAAAAAAAAAAAAAAAGGAAATGTGTTAATAAACGAGGACAGAATCCTGAGGACAGGGGATCAGAGTGGAAGAAAAGAAGAAAGAGGTGCCACTCCAGTGCCCCGGGAGTGGATGACTGCTGTAGCGTGGGGAAGAGAGGAGCGAGACAAAAAAGAGGGGTAGGGCTGGGCGCGGTGCTCACGCCTGTAATCCCAGCACTTTGGGAGACTGAGGTGGGCAGATCACGAGGTCAAGAGATTGAGACCATCGTGGCCAACATGGTGAAACCCCATCTCTACTAAAAATACAAAAATTGGCTGGGCATGGTGGTGTGTGCCTGTGGTCCCAGCTACTCAGGAGGCTGAGGCAGGAGAATCACTTGAACTTGGGAGGCGGAGGTTACAGCGAGCTGAGATCGAACCACAGCCTGGTGGCAAAGCCAAGATGCTGTCTCAAAAAAAAAAGGTTGTGGAGGTGGGGGAAGTGGTGGGGATTGTGGCTAGAGAGCCCCAGTCCTGTTCTACAAGTCAGTAACAACTCAGGTCTAGAGTGTGTGTTTCCCTGGGGAAAGCTAGGCCAAAACTTCAACTCATACAGAAAAGCCAGCAGTGTGGGCTCATACCTGTAATCCCAGGACTTTGGGAGGCTGAGGTAGGAGAATCACTTAAGCTCAGGAGTCTGAGACAAGCCTGGGCAACAGAGGAAGACTCTTGTCCCCACAATCTATCTATCTATATATATTAAAAAATTAGCTCAGGCTGGGTGCACTGGCTCACGCTTATAATCGCAGCACTTTAGGAGGCCAAGGTGGGTGGATCATGAGGTCAGGAGTTTGAGACCAGCCTGGCCAACATAATGAAACCCGTCTCTACTAAAAATATAAAAATACAAAAATTAGTTGAGTGTTGTGGTGGGCGCCTGTAATCTCAGGTACTTGGGAGGCGGAGGCAGGAGAATCCCTTCAACCCAGGAGGCAGAGTTTGCAGCACCCCACCGCTGCACTCCAGCCTGGGTGACAGAGCAAGACTCCGTCTCAAAAAAAAAAAAAAAAAATATATATATATATATATATATATATATATATATATATATCTGGTGTGGTGGCTCAGCCCTGTGGTCCCAGCTACTCAAGAGGCTGAGGTGGGGCCAGGTGCAGTGGCTCACACCTGTAGTCCCAGCACCCAGCACTCTGGGAGGCTGAGGCAGGTGATCACTTGAGGTCAGGAGTTCGAGATCAGCCTGCCCATGGTGAAACCCCGTCTCTACTGAAAATAGAAACATTAGCCAGGCGTGGTGATGCATGCCTGTAATCTCAGCTACTGGGAGGCTGAGGCGTGAGAATTGCTTGAGCCCAGGAGGCGGAGGTTGCAGTGAGCTGAGATCACACTACTGTACTCCAGCCTGGGCAACAGAGCAAGACATCATCTGAAAAAAAAAAAAGAAAATCCAGCAGTCTTGGTTTTAGTGTGGTAGGCCTGCATTAGAGATGGGGGAGCAGCCATTTCCCTGTCGGCCAGAGTTGGGGCCTTGATTAGCACTGCACTCTCCAGGACATTCAAGTAGGGGCTGATTTCCAGAGACTCACAAGGGTTACAGAATTTCAGAACACCTCCAGACCGAGGGCAAGGCAGTGGCAGAAATAAGAGTTGGGGAGTGGAAAGGTGAAGGAAAACCACCAAAAACTCCTGAGGGTCCCCCTCATGCCTCTCCCCACAGCTTCAGGGCCCCTTCCCTGCCCCAGGTCACCTCCGCCAGCTCCGAGTGTTCTTCCCAGCCCTGAGCGGGCCTGGGTGTCCCTGCCTTTTCAGTTCAGCCCCAACCTCTCCGTCCCTACCCCTCATCCTCATTCCCCTGCCTGCAGCGCGCTTCCCTACACAATGCCTTGCTTGAAGTAGCCTCGGAAGGCCTCGCTCTCATTGCCCTGGACCTCGCGGTGCTGCACGGCCCGGCCCTTCAGGAAGTCGTCCATCTGTGTGGTGTAGATGGCAGCTGCCCCCTGCTCATCCTGGGAGGAGTTCTGGCCAATCCAGTAGTGGATGTCATAGGACAGGTTGCTGGCCGTCTTGTGGATCTAGGGAAAGGGTGTCCAGTGTACCCGAGGCCCTGGGCTCCCACAGCCCCTCCCGCTCTGTGTGACCTCCCACACATGTGCCTTCCAGGACCATGGGGGAGCTTGGCACAGGGCAAGTGTGCTGGGCTGGTGGTCAGGAGCCCTGAGTCATCCCCCAACTTTACCACTGAGTCTCTGAGACATGTGGCAAGTGGCTTCTCCTCTCCTGGCCTCCCTTGCCTCATCTTAGAAAGAAAGAACTTGCTTGTGCCAGGCTTGGTGGCTCACGCCTGTAATTCCAGCACTTTGGGAGGCAGAGGCAGGCAGATCATCTGAGGTTAGGAGTTCAAGACCAGCCTGGCCAACATGGTGAAACCCCATCTTTACTAAAAATACAAAAATTAGGCTGGGCGCGGTGGCTTATGCTTGTAATCCCAACGTTTTGGGAGGCCAAGGCAGGTAGATCACGAGGTCAAGAGATTGAGATCATCCTGACCAACATAGTGAAACCCTGTCTCTACCAAAAATACAAAAATTAGTGGATGTGGTGGTGCATGCCTGTGGTCCCAGCTACTCGGGAGGCTGAGGCAGGAGAATCATTTGAACCCGGGAGGCAGAGGTTGCAGTGAGCCAAGATCATACCATTGCACTCCAGCCTGGGCAACAGAGTGAGACTCTGTCTCAAAAAAAAAAAAAAAAAAAATCGGCCAGGCGCGGGTGGCTCACGCCTGTAATCCCAGCACTCTGGGAGGCCGAGGTGGGCGGATCACCTGAGGTCAGGAGTTCAAGACCAGCCTGACCAACATGGTGAAACCCTGTCTTTAAAAAAAAAAAAAAAAAAAAATAGCTGGACATGGTGGCGGTCACCTGTAATCTGAGCTACTGGGGAGGATGAGGCATGAGAATTGCTTGAACCCGGGAGGCAGAGATTGCACTAAGCCAAGATCATGCCACTGCACTCCAGCCTGGGCGACAGAGTGAGACTGTCTCAAAAAAAATAATAAATAAAATAAAATACAATATTAAAATGAGTCAATATAAAGAAAAACATATAAATATCTTAATAGTACAGGTGGTACCAGGGTGTGGTGAAAATCAAGGCGATATGAAGATGACTATGAGGCTGGGCATGGTAGCTCACACCTGTAATCCCAGCACTTTGGGAGACTGAAATGGGTGGATTGGATCACCTGAGATCAGGAGTTCGAGACCAGCCGGCCTCACCAACATGGAGAAACCTGTCCCTATTGAGGAATACAAAAACAATTAGCTGGGCGTGGTGGCAGGCGCCAGTTTTCCCAGCTACTTGAGAGACTGAGGCAGGAGAATTGCTTGAACCCTGGAGGTGGAGGTTGCAGTGAACCAAGATCGTGCCACCACACTCCAGCCTGGTGGACAGAGCAAGACTCCATCTGGAAAATGTTGAAAAAAAAATGACTATGAATTTTGGGAACGTGGACACAAATTAGGCTGACATGGCAACACTCAGAAGGGCCCCAAAGACTGTGAATCCACAGAAGTTGGCCTCAGCTGGGAGCTCAGTGGATCAGGGGCAGGGAGAGCCACCACGAGGGGGGCCACTTGAGCACACCCAGTAAATTCTGTCTTGAGGTGAAGCCAGGCCGGCGCGCCCCATAGCCCCCAGCCTGTGTTTCCTCCCTGACACCATAGTGGGTTTTGCTCTCTGCTCGGCCCCTCCCTCCCCTGCCGCTGACTCACAGCCAAGATGATGTAGCAGTCACCATCGAAGAAGCTCCCAAAGGTGCTGGAAGGAACAGGTACCATCTGCATGGCCTAAGGAGAGAAAGGGGGGTCAGAGAGGCTGCCCGGGACCATCAGGACCCCTAGGCTTGGGAGGAGGAGGGCCCAGGAGGAGGAAGGGTCGGAGAAAAAGCACCGGGCCCAGGAATGAAAAGAGAGAAAAGGAAGAGGGGAGAAGGAAACTCTGCGTGAGGAGTGGGAGAAGGGAACTCGAGAGAGGAAAAGGAAGGGATGAGTGAGGAAGAGGAAATGGAGAGGAAGGTTGAAAGCAGAGGGGGAAGGAATGGAGAAAAGGGAAAGGGAGACCAGCCGGGGTGTGGATGATGTGGGAGGTGAAGGGGCTGCACTCTCGGGGGCCGCAGGACAGGAGCAGAGAAAACTAAGAGAAAGCCCAGTCCTCTGCCTTCCCTCCCTCCACCCCAGGCCTGCACGTTGCCCACGCCCAGACAGGGCCTCACCTCAATCCTCCATATCTGCAGCCCTGGGGTAGTGATGTTGAGAGAGCTTTTGACTTGGGCGCTCAGCTTGGTCATGGTGAGTGAGCCTAGGGGAGAAGGTGGCGGGAGCAGGGGCACCTTGGGTTCAGAGGCCGTCCTTCCAGCCTGGCCCTAGAGAACTCCCAGCAGTACCAGCAGGTCGCAGACTCAGGGCCCCGGGGAGCACAGAGAGTTACTCCCCACTCAGGGACCATTGCTGCTTGTTTAGTACCAAATCCACAGTGTCCAACACAGTGACTGTGCTGGATAAAGAGAGAGGGGGAGGGAAGGAGTGAGGGATAGATGAATGAATTAATGAATGAATGAACAGAGTGAACCCTCCCACCGTGAACCACCCTCTGCCTGCTGAACTGGAAGGAATCCTTCCTCCCCAAGCTTTTCTCCTGCTGTCAGCCCTTTCTCCTTTTTTTTCTTTTTGAGATAGAATCTTGCTCTGTCACCCAGGCTGGATGGATCTTGGCTCACTGCAACCTCCACCTCCCAGGTTCAAGCAATTTTCCTCCCTTCGCCTCCCGTGTAGTTGGGATTACAGGCACCCACCACCACACCTGGCTAATTTTGTATTTTAAGTAGAGATGAGGTTTTGCCATGTTGGCCAGGCTGGTCTCAAACTCCTGACCTCAGGTGATCCGCCTGCCACAGCCTCCCAAAGTGCTGGGATTACAGGCATGAGCCATCGCCCCAGCCAGCACTTTCTGCTTGAACCTGTAGCTGTGTTCGCTCCAGCTGCTCGTCAGCATCACCTGGGGAGCTTCTGAACATACTGATGCTCTATGCTTGGGCAGCATCCCCTGAGATTCTGATTTAATTAGGCCAGGGTGGGGCCTGGGCATGGGTGCTTTTAAAACTCGCCAGTGATTCTGATATGAGCCAGGGCAGAGAGTGAGCCACTTGTTCTTAGTTATTCTCCTCCCTAGTTTTTTTTTTTTAAAAAGAGTTTCACTCTTGTTGCCTAAGCTGGAGTGCAATGGTGCAATCTTGGCTCACTTGAACCTCTGCCTCGGGGGTTCAAGCGATTCTCTTGTCTCAGCCTTCCGAGTAGCTGGGATTAGAGGCACACACCACCCCTCCTGGTTAATTTTTTGTATTTTTAGTAGAAACGGGGTTTCACCATATTAGCCAGGCTTGTCTCAAACTCCTCACCTCAGGTGATGTGCCTGCCTCGACCTCCCAAAGGGCTGGGATTATAGGCGTGAGCCACCGCGCCTGGCCTCTCCTCCCTAGTTTTGAGGCTCCTCCTCACCAGGTCAGAGGCCACCCGGATCTCCATGGAGCCTTTCACCAGCCTGGTGGGGAGCTGCCCTCCATGAATGCTCCTTGAACTGGTGAATAAAGAATGAAAGGGCATTCGGGCAACAGGTCAGGCCTCCACTCGCTGACAGCCTGAAATCTCACTATCTAATCTCTCCTTGCACCTTGACTCTGAGTCACCTCTTAGTGACTTGGCCTTTTAGCACTTGGAACCTCCCTTTTCTGAGTCCTGAGGGGTGGCCGCTGCTTCCCTGGCATTCTGGAGTTTGAGGCAAGGCCCTGCCCAGTCTCTGATCAGAGCCTCCTCCACCAATCAGCAGCAGCTTGCTGTGTATCTGTAGGAGCCCCTTGGGCTTGGGTCCTGTCTGATGGCCTGTTGGCTAAGGCCTCCTCCATCAGGCAACCATGGCCTCCTCCATCAGGTATTCTTCAACTCACCGAGTCCCCAGGGCTCCCAGGATTCCTGGTCCAGCAGAACCAGTTGGGTACAAAGGAGGAGAATGTTTTGTTTCATTTCTATCATCTCCTTTATCTCCGTCCCCCCTTTTATGGATTTATTTATTTTGAGATGGAGTTTCACTCTTCCTGCTGAGACTGAAGCACAGTGGCACAATCTTGGCACACTGAAAACTCTATCGTCCAGGTTCAAGCCATTCTCCTGCCTCAGCCTGCCGAGTAGCTGGGATCACAGGTGTGCGCCACCATGCCCAGCTAATTTTTGTATTTTTAGTAGAGACGGGATTTTACCATGTTAGTCAGGCTGGTCTCGAACTCCTGACCTCAGGTGATCTGCCCACTTTAGCCTCCCAAACTGCTGGGATTGCAGGCATGAGCCCCATCCCCCTTTTTCTTTGACACTCACTAGCTGCATGAACGTGCACTTCCCTTCTTCATCTGAGCTGAGGGGGTCAACGAAATCAATGATCTCTAAAGTCTCACCCAGGACCATGCTGATTCTAGGGGTAACTGGCAGCAAGAGGAGTAGAGGGTGGACATGAGGAGGCACTTCTTGCTCATCAGAAGGCATTCGGGTGAGCAGGGACTTGAAAAAGCCAGTGCTCCCCTGGAGAGAAATCAGGATTGGGGCCAGTCCCCACAGGCCAAAGGTGGCCAAGAGGACTCAGGAGTGGGAGCTCTGAGATGTGGCCCCCCTACAGGCTGTATACCCTCCAGCTGCTCCTGCCCTCTACCCGTGTTGCTTAGAGCAGACGCCTCTCCTCCACCCCTTGGCAGGGCCCCCTCCTTACTTCCCCTGTCTTCCCTGAACTGCCAGGAAACCAGGGCCCCTCACTGCCCCCAGCCCTGCCACCATGGGCCCTGGTTTGGATTTGTCTTCTCCCTCAGCTTGAACTCACTGGCTTTCCCCACTCCTGGTACTTTCTCTTCTATGTCCCCAGACCGGGAAGGGCACCGTCACGCCAAGACCCCAAAGTCAACCATCTGTGCAGCATCCTGGACTCCTCCGCATCCTGCCCTTTTGTTCACCTAAACTCCCTTGAGTCTCCCTGATACACACAGCCCCCTGGCCCCTCTCTGCTGCCACTCTGCCCTCTACAAATGCCACACTGCTGGTGAGCCCCTCCCCCATGCTGCCTCTCACCCCACGCCTGCTCTTGCTGCTCCCACCTGGAGAGCTCTCCCCACCTTTCTTCTCTTGCCTGACACTAACATGCTCGTCTAGACTCAATTTAGGTCTCATTTCTCCCAGGAGACCTTCCCAGAATCCTCAGGCTGGACAAAGGGCCCCTGGGCATCTTGGACTGTCCCCTCTCTTGGTCTGCTGACCACATGGTGATGAAAGAACCTGGTTGTAAGTCTGAGGTCTCTGAGCTCCAAGACATAAATATATTTGTCTTTGTAGCCCCTAGCTCCTAGCACATAGTAGATGCTCAACAAATACTCAACGATGCTGAAAGGCTGAACTGTGGGATGGAAGGAGGACCCTCCCAAGGCCTTGGAGGGGTTTGGGCTCCTGCCCGCTTTCTTCCTTCCTTCCCTCCTTCCTTCCTTCCCTCCTTCCTTCCTTCCCTCCCTCCCTCCCTCCCTCCCTCCCTCCCTCCCTCCCTCCCTCCCCTCCCTCCCTCCCTCCTTTCTTCCTTCCTTCCTTCCTTCCTTCCTTCCTTCCTTCCTTCCTTCCTTCCTTCCTTCCTTCCTTCCCCCGCTCCTTCCCTCCCTCCCTCCTTCTTTCCTTTCTCTCTTTTATTTTGACAGACTATTGCCCAGACTGGACTGCAATGGCACATTCTCAGCTCACTGCAACCTCCACCTCCCAGTTCAAGCAATTCTCCTGCCTCAGCCTCCCAAGTAGCTGTGATTACAGGCATGCACTACCATGCCTGGCTAATTAGGATTTTTAGTAAAAACTGGGTTTCACCATGTTGGTCAGGCTGATCTTTAACTCCAGACCTCAAGTGATCCGTCCACCTTGGCCTCCCAAATTGCTGGGATTACCCATGTGAGCCCCTGTGCCAGGCCCACCTTGCCTTTCTTATCTGAGCCCTGTTGTACTCGAGGTATAGCTCTGTGGTATGTGGGGTGCTGCTGCGGCTCCCACCTCCCAGTAACGCAGCTCTGAGCTGGACAGGAATGTGGTGGGCCTGTGGGGGTGAAGTCCCACCCTTCAGACAAAGGACATACTCCTGCTTCCCAGCCCCTTGCTGTGATAGCAAAGGGAATGGACACCCGCCCAGACCCTCCAGCCCACAGGCTCTGCCTCTCAGTGCCTGTGGGAGGCCCCAGCAGATGATGTCCCAAGAAGACAGTACCCAGTGTGTCCAGAGCTTGGTCTGCACCTAGCTCCCAGCCCTAGTTCTGCCGAAGTGAGGCACAGTGGCAGGGAAACCAATGGGGCAGCTGTGGGTGGAGGGAGATGGGCAGAGGTGCATGGTAGGGTGGCCCGGCATGTCCCAGGACCTAAGGCCCTGCCACCTCCATTCAATTCCTGGTGGCTGTTGCTCATATGCTAGGATCCAGGAGGCGGGGCCCTGAAGTCCCAGGAGTGTCAGAGGCATGGTGACACATAGAAAAAAACACATCAGATGAGAAGAAATGGGCGAAGAGAGGAGCCGGTGGGGAGGGGGTTCGGGGAGTGAGGTCAGGGAGACCAACTAGTCTCCGTCTGCCCAGGACTGTCCTGATTTTAACTCTAGAAATCCCAGGGCAATTGGGATGGTGACACCCAAGTGTGATGGGGCTAGCCGCCAGCCTGAGACTGAGAGAGCCATTGTCTCCAGCAGGGCCTGCAAAGTCTCTCCTTGGAGGCCCAGGGCAGACACACTGGGACAGCCCTTCTCACACTATCCAGAGTGCCAAGCCTTCCTCTGGAGCCCGCACCACAGTGCTCCGGGAGGCCCCAGGTTGCCTGAGAAAAGGAGGGGCCCCAGTCCCCTCACACCACCTATAGTCTCCATGTGTCCCCACCAGGTTGCCTTACCTGTCTTGGGGAGGCAGCTGCCACCTGGGAGATCTCAGGGAGTTGTGGCAAGCTGGCTGCAGAAGAGCGACCTTTGTCCCCACCTCCCCTCCTCTAGGAACTGCCTTCACCATATAAGGGAAGATAGGGCCCCAGAGAGGTGAGGGGGTGGGGAGGCAGGTGCTGCCAGGTCCCTGGGAGCCCAGAGCCCAGCAACAGCCTGACAACCAGAGCTGCTGTGCCCCACCCTTGGCTTTTTTTCTTTTTTTTGAGATGGAGTCTCGCTCTGTCATCCAGGCTGGAGTGCAGCTGGTAGAGACAGGGTTTCACCAGGTTGGCCAGGCTGGTCTTGAACTCCTGACCTCAAATGATCCACCTACTCGGCCTCCCAAAGTGCTGGGATTACAGGCATGAGCCACTGCTCCCAGCCACATCCTTGGCTTCTGAGAGAGCAAGGGATGCAGTGCTTTTCTACCCAGGGCCCAGGCTCTCACCACGGACAGACAGTACTGTCCAGGTAGGGACAGGGGCGCCTGAACCTTTCCTCCTACCAGCCAAGAGAAGGAGGCTCTGCTGTCCTCCCACCTTTCCTGGGGCGAATGTTTCATGGAGAAGGAGAGGCAGGACCCTGGAATTCCAGGAGCCCCAAACCCAGGAATGCAGGGGCTTATACTTGGGGTATCCCCAGAACAGATGAAAGGTCTCTTCTCAGCATGACCCTCACTTAGCAAGGGCCCTTGTGGGCACAACTGCTCTTCCTCTCCACCCCCAGGGGCACTGGCTCCACCCGGAGTTTTTATGAGATGCCATAAACCAGTGCCTTTGAACTCTGCTCTGCTACCTTCTCCCAGAAGCCAAGGTTTCCATGTCTGACCCCTGACTCTAGGGGATCCATCTCACTCAGGCAGGAAATTAGTGAAGCCGTCTCTGGCGTGGATCTCGCTGAGAGACCAGCTCCACAGGCAAAGTCAGCACCTTGGGCAGCTGCCTCCCAAACTGCAGAAATTCTCTAGTCACCTCCAAAGCCTGTTCCTTACCAGGGTGAGATGAAGGGACTGGGTGAGGGCAGACCCTCTCCTCCTGATCACAGCCTCCCAAGAGTTCTGGAGACCAAATGTACAGTAGTCCCCGCTTATCCAAGGCAGGATACATTCCAAGACCCGCAGAGGATGCCTTAAAACTTCAGATAGTACCTAACCCGGCTGCCGTCAGCTGGAGCACATTTCTGTTCATGTCTTCCACCCACAGATTTAAGCTTTTTCCATTTTCACTAAGCTCTTATCCTTTACTGTGGCCATACTTTTGGAGTTTGAGACGCAACAGCAAAATTAATTTTTCCTTCCTCACCATTTCATGAATAGAGGATTCTTTTTTTCTTCTTCTTCTTCTTTCCTGAGATGTAGTCTTGCTCCGTCACCCAGGCTGGAGTGCCATGGCTCGATCTTGGCTCACTGCAACCTCCGCCTCCCAAGTTCAAGCGATTCCTACCTCAGCCTCCGGAGTAGCTGGGACTACAGGGGCTACTGAGAAAAGGAGGGGCCAACATGCCCAGCTAAATTTTTGTATTTTTAGTAGAGGTGGGGCTTCACCGTGTTAGCTAGGAAGGTCTCGATCTCCTGATCTTGTGATCCTTGGCCTCCCAAAGTGCTGGGATTACAGACGTGAGCCACCATGCCCAGCCTGAAGATGCATTCTTATCATAGATCTTAGCAACCTCAGCATATGATAATTTTTTTCTTTCCATATTAAGAACTATTACCTTTTCACTTGAAATACTTTATGGCTTCTTTTTGGCACATCCAAATTGCCAGCATCACTACTCTTGCATTATTTATTAAAATAATGCTTTCTGCCAGGCGTGGTGGCCCGTGCCTGTAGTCTCAGCTACTCAGGAGGCTGAGGTGGGAGGATCGCTTGAGCCCAGGAGTTCTGGGCTGTAGCGCACTATGCCAATCTGGTGTCTGCACTAAGTTTGGCATCAATATGGCGACCTCCTGGGGACCACCAGGTTGCCTAAAGAGGGGTGAAACAGCCCAGGTCGGAAACGGAGCAGGTCAAAACTCCCGTGCTGATCAGTAGTGGGATTGCACCTGTGAATAGCCACTGCTCTCCAGCCTGGGCCACATAGCGAGACCCCATCTTTAAAATTAAAAAATAAAATAAAATAATGTATAACTCGATCAAGACAGTTGAAGGTAAGCAATAATAAAATAAATAAAATAATGGTTACTATTTTTTTTTTTTTTTGACACGAAGTCTCACTCTCTCACTCAGGCTGGAATGCAATGGCATGATCTTGGCTCACTGTAACCTCTGCCTCCGGGGTTCAAGTGATTCTCCCATCTTAGCCTCCTGAGTAGCTGGGACTACAGGCACGCACCACCACACCCAGCTCATTTGTTTTTTTAAATCCGCCCACCTCTTTTTTTTGTATTTTTATTAGAGACAGGGGTTCACCATGTTGACCAAGCTGGTCTCAAACTCCTAACCTCAGGTGATCTGCCCACCTAGGCCTCCCAAAGTGCTGGGATTATAGGTTGGAGCCACCAAGTCCAGCCCAATAACGGTTACTTTGAACACAAACCCTGCAAGGCCTCAACAGTGGCTTCGATAGCCAAGACAGTGCTAAATGCCCGTCAGGGAGCCTGCACTGCGTGGAGGTACTGGACAAAAAGACGACTCACGTTTTGGGTGGGATGGAGCGGGGTGGCGGGAGATCCCATCACGGTACTTGAATACTGTGCAATTTAAAACTTATGAATGGTTTATTTCCAGAATTTTTCATGTAGTATTTTAAGACCATGGTTGAAGTGGTGGATAAAGGACCGTTGTGTATGTGTGCACATGTGGGCATGTGTGTGGTATATGTGTAGACACACTCGTGTAGTCTGGAAAAAGGAGTAAACACTGGAGGTGATATATATATATATATATATTTTTAGACAGAGTTTCAACTGTTGCCAGGCTGGAGTGGTGTGATTTTGGCTCACTGCAACCTCTGCCTCCTGGGTTCAAGTGATTCTCCAGTCTCAGCCTCCAGAGTAGCTGGGACGACAGGCGTGCGCCACCACACCCAGCTAATTTTTGTATTGTTAGTAGAGACCAGGTTTCACCATGTTGGCCAGGATGGTCTCGATCTCCTGACCTCAAGTTATCCACCAGCCTCAGCCTCCCAAAGTACTGGGATTAGAAGAGTGAGCCACCTCGCCCAGCTGTTTGCTTTTTAAAATATTGCTGTGTGTGGTGGCATATGCCTGTAATCCCCCTACTAAGGAGGCTGAGACAAGAGAATCACTTGAAACTGGGAGACGGAGGTTGCAGTGAGCCAAAATGGCACCACTGCCCTCCAGCCTGGATGATGAAGCGAGGCTCTGTCTCAAAAAACATACACATATATAAATAGGAAAATAAAAATAGGCCAGGTCTGGTGACTCATGCCTGTAATGCTAGCTAAGGCGGGTGGATCACGAGGTTAGGAGTTCAAGACCATCATAGTGAAACCTTGGCCATCATAGTGAAACCTTGTCTCTACTAAAAATACAAAAATTAGCCAGGCATGGTGGCTCGCGCCTGTAGTCTCAGCTACTCCAGAGGCTGAGGCAGGAGAATCACTTGAACCTGGGAGTAGAGGTTATGATGAATTGAGATCACACCACTGTACTTCAGCCCAAGCAATAGAGTGAGACTCCATCTCAAAATAAATAAATAAAATAACAAAGAACAAATAATTAAAAAAAACTATACCATTCTGTCTTCTATGTCACAGGTTATGAAAAATAGAAAAAAATAACACTTTTTCTTGTGAATAAAGAGGAGTTTATATATGTATAGATATAGATATAGATTTACACTCAATTACAAGGACAAGAAAAAGGAAGGAAAAAAACTTGACCGGGCGTGGTGGCTCACGCTTGTAATCCCAGCACTTTGAGAGGCTGAGTTGGGTGGATCATGAGGTCAGGAGTTCAAGACCAGCCTGTCCAATGTGATGAAACCCATTTCTACTAAAAAAATACAAAAATTAGTAAGGCGTGGTGGTTCATGCCTGTAGTCCCAGCTACTTGGGCGGCTGAGGCGGGAGAGTCACTTGAACCCAGGAGGCAGAGGTTGCAGTGAGCCGAGATGGTGCCACTGTACTCCAGCCTCGGTGAAAGAGTGAGACTCCATCTCAAAAAAAAAAAAACACACACACACAGAAAAAACCTCACCTATATTTTCATTACAGAGATACTCTGCAGATAAATCACTGTCACTGAACTGTTTTGGATATTTCTTTCAAGTCATTGTCCATTATATGTATCAACCTGTCTGCATGTGCATATATATATATATATATATATATATTTTTTTTTTTTTTGGAGGGTGGGGAATAGAGACGGGGTTTCACCATGTTGGTCAGGGTGGGCTCGAACTCCTGACCTCAAGTGATCTGCCAGCCTTAGCTTCCCAAAGTGCTAGGATTACAGGCATGAACCACCATGCCCGGCCCTTTTTTCTTTTTCTTTTTTTTTTTCAAGTGATGGGGTCTCGCTATGTTGCCCAGGCTGGAGTGCAGTGGTTATTCACAGGTGCGATCCCACTATAGATTAGCACAGGAGTTTTGACCTGCTCCATTTCCGACATGAGCCAGTTCGCCCCTCCTTAGGCAACCTGGTGGTCCCCTGCTCCCGGGAGGTCACCATATTGATGCCGAACTTAGTGCAGACACCTGATCGGCATAGCACACTACAGCCCAGAACTCCTAGGCTCAAGCAATCCTCCCACCTCAGCCTCCCGAGTAGCTGGGACTATAGGCACAGGCCACTGTGCCTGGCCCTTTTTTTTTTTTGTGACGGAGTCTCTCTCTGTCACTCAGGCTGGATTGCAGTGGTGCCATCTCAGCTCACTGCAACCTCCGCCTCCCAAGTTCAAGCAATTCTCCTGCCTCAGCCTCCCAAGTAGCTGGGATTACAGGCATTAGCCACCATGTGTGGCTAATTTTGTTGTTGTTTGGTAGAGATGGAGTTTCCACCATGTTGCCCAGGCTGCTCTCAAATGCCTGGGCCCAAGCAATCCTGCCTTGGCCTCCCAAAGTGCTGGGATTG